TTTTCTAGATTCGTTCGGTTGATTGAAGAATTCAAACTGCTATTTTTTTAATGATAATTAAGAAAAAGATAAAATGCATTATGCGTAACTTTAATGGCATAAGGTGAAAACCGAAAAAAAAAAAAGGCAGGTGGACCTATCCCAAAACAATATTTTATCATTCAGTGTTTTTTTTTGTTTGTTTTTTATCGGCTTGTCTCAAAAAGTCTTTACGCATCTACATATAAGTATATTTGACGCCCACATTAAAAATTGCCAACACAAAAGAGGGACAGCTATAAAATAGCCGGCCTAAAATTCGGTACCAACCATCAAAATTTGCTATTCATTTGATCATATTTAACTGCATCAACAAATAAAAGAAAAAAAGTAAAAACTTTTTTAGCACGAACCTATCAAATCCAAACAACAATATTCAGTTGGTCATGTGTGTATAAGACAAATATGTATTGTCCAAATTTAAGGCGGATGAAACCTTATTTAAGTACGTTCCAAAAATTGTATTAACTAGTTAACAAATTTTTACTGTGTATAACCAACATACATTGATTGTAAAATTGATATGACGCTGGTATTTGACACAAAAATAATTCTGAACAACAAACAACCTGAAGATTTTTATGGTAAAAAATATAGGACGAAGGCCCATCATAAAAATTTAATAAAGAAGGTTATCTTTAGAGAGAGAAAGGGCTTTATAGGAAAATGTTATTTTTCGGTCACGCGACGGGGCATTGAGCCCCGCTAACCCACTCATTGGGGCATGAAATATGTTACAACGCTTTTTTTACAACCTTTCCTTATAAACTACAACCCTCCAGCACGTAAACAAAGCGAGGGACCCGGGGCAAATCGATAGCAGTCATTCAGGAACATAACCAACAAGGAATGTAATGAGAAAAATGAAACCTTGTGGCCTATCTCGAAATTACTTAAGAGCAGATTTGTAAGTCGAGCCAATAAGTAAGTAAATGCCATATAAGTTCCTTCAAAGAATAGTATTCACACGATTCCAGTGAGCAATTCCAGGACTCCTGAATGTAGTCATTGAATGCAAGTGTATCTTATCAGCCATATAAGAAAATCAGCTTCTCCTCTCTTATAAAAATATAAAGGCTGAAATGGATGGCCTTCGTGGTAATTAAAACGAAAGGCAGTAGAGTCTATGAAATGCCCCAAGTATTGGATGGATGGCGAATGGTTCAGGTACAGAACGCGATCTGCTGGAAGCTAAGCCATTGAGAACAACATATCTCGTTTTAATAGACGGAGAAGAATGGCGAAATATAATGACAATTACTTCGATATAAGTTCTGCAAAATCGTAAAATAACTTGGATAAATAAATTCCAAGACTGAAGTCATATCGTTACCCAAATACCGATCTTTAGTGCATATAGAGTCTTCATCAGTATGTTTCCTTTCTTCAGAATAATTTCTGTCAGAACCGGAAATCACGGTTGAAATAAAACCGAGTTGAAAATAATTATAAATTATTTATGCCCGGAAGCTGATAGAAATAGATACACTACTATGACGCGAAATATGTTATTGAGATTAAGAATTTTTACAGACAATGTCACACTAAAGAGAAAAAAAATTGTTTTTTCTATTTATTTATTTATTGAGTATTACAACAATCTGCCACTTGGACGTTAGTAATAGTGAGGTAGGATAACATTCACACTATATGTACGAAAATATATAAAATAAATAATAATCAAAAAGTACATAAAATAAAAAAATATAATAAATTAAAAATAAGAAAATTAAAACAAAGCAAAAAACACATGCATATCCGAGGCAGGCTTGTCCCACCAACTAAGGAGGGAAAAGCAGTACTCCAGGAGAACCCTGAGCTACCCAACAGCATCACTGGTACTAAAGCCAGCGGAGGTTGATCTAGAGCACTTTAGCCACATACACTCATGTCTTGAGTGGAGAATCAAGCCATTGCCAGAACTCCAATATGTACAATCTACAAAAGGTCGCAGGGCCACTGCGGTTTCAACCTTCTTGGAGGATTATAGGGATGGGTAGTGCTTGATAGGGATTGTGCAATAGGATTTGGATGATATGTAAGGTTCTGGTGATATTTGGAGAAAATTTTCTGGGATAATGTTCAGGACAAATGGGATGTTGAGGTCATGATATAGGGTTTTGCAGGTTACATAGAGAAGATCATCGGTTAATTGTTCGAAGAACTTTTGACTGGAAGGTTTGAATGCGTTTGATGTTAGAAAATTTTCCTGCCCCCACAGTTCTAGTCCGCAAGTCCAAATAGGTTTCAGTATTGTCTTGTGGATAATAATTAAATAATTATTTAATCAAATTCAATATTGTCCTTTTTAAATTACTTCCTCTAAGACACTTTTGCCCTGTATTCAATTCTACTGGCAGATTCCTTGATATTTCTATGCTTTAAGATCGTTTATATATCTCGATGTTTATGTTTTAATGGTCTACACCCGAGGTCCGCCCCCGAAGTACCATCGGAAACAAAAAAGGAAATCCACTTCTTCCCTCAGGCCAAAGTTGATCCATCGACAGGATCTTTGAAGAGCCTGAGAAAATAGAAGTTTCTACTAAGTCAAGCTTACTAAGACGAATATAAAAACAAACGCATCGAAGAACAAATATAAAAAATCAGCATATTCTTGAAATTCGACTTCAATTTCTTTGACTTTTTCGTCCAAGATCACTCAGTTTGTTTTTATTCATTGCTTTTGGACTTAAGCTCCACATCAATTTCATAAAAGCAAGACTTATCTCCTATGATAACTCTGTCGAAAAAATCACAAATCCTCTCAGTTTTTCAAGAGGAACCAACTTCAAAACAAGGAATTTCTAAGGAACCTTCAAGCAGTGGAAAATGATATCTTAAGTACCTTATATCTCATGAGGAATATTTCAACGAAAACAATAATTAATTAATTAAATGTAAAATAAAACTGTTTTCTTCCTTTTATAACGATACTACAGCGTCATTCACTATTTCTAACCACAAACGGCAGGGGAACTTAATAACAAAAAGGAGCAATAAATAAAAAACAATTCGCCGCAGTTTATGACAGAAACACCAGACATTAAACCGAGCGCAATCATGTTTTGATAGAGCAATGTACTTAGCTCGTACCGAGGGAAGGCATAAACTCTGATGTTAGGGGCCGTATATTTCGGGACAATGAAAGAGGGCCTCAATCAATTAGGGAGGAAAGGGAATTGCAGTGAAGAAGAAACTAACCGGAGAGGAAAGGAAATGGTTTATTGGAGCAGTTAGCTCTGTTTTTATATATTTTAATTAAAGGGTAGGCTAAGGATTTATGGCGAGGAGGGGGGGGGGGGGGGGGGGGAGGGTACATAGTGCCCCGGGTTGTAAAAAAGTTTGTAAATGAAGGGTAATTAACTGTTAAAAAGTGGGCCCCTTTTATGGCCCGGGGTTAGCGGCTTTACGAGCCTAGTTCTCGCCAGCCTCTGCTCTACTCTGGCGGAGGAGTCCTTGTTTTTCCTTAACTAAAACTTAACTCATTTCAGTCTTTAAAGTTCATTAGTACTGAAAGCGGGATTTAAATAATTAACTCGGGTAGAACTAGAAGCAATAAGGTATTTACTAAGGTTGCTCAAGTCCAAATACCTTTAATGGAGAATTAAAGAAAATATATAAAGTAAAGATTAATAAAAATGAAATGAAACATGTAACACTACCACCATGAAGGGCCTTGGATCCAGTACATTCTAAGAAAATACTGTTTCGCCCTCAACCAAGGGCTTTCATCTCCAAGAAAATAAAGTCCTAAAATTTATAATTTTTGATTCCTATCAAAATTTAGATTTGAGAATTTAAGAGGACGCTAAAAACGAATCCAACTTGCTTTTTAAGACAAAAATTTACTTTGACTAATTCATTGGATATCTTTTGGTTTTTGTAGTTCATAAAATATTTAAACCTAATTAATAATATTTATTGTTTTTTCTTATTTAATGCAAGAAAATAAATAGCTTCGAATACAATCTAGAAATTCGGGCAAAAAATAATAATATATATTTTTTAATAATAATAGAAATACATCATGGTCTTAAGGCCTAACGGAAGTAACCCCGAGACAGGAGTCCAATTTTTTAAAGATTAAATATCCCGGAAAAAATTAATTGAGATGGGTAACACCTTGTAAGTCACAACCTCAACAATCGATTTGGCAGTTTTTGATTTTTTGTATTACCCTTAAAACCATGACCTTTTGTAACATGTATATATTGGAGTTCTGGCAAGGCCAGATTCTCCACTCAAGTCATGAGGGTCTGAGGTTGTAGCGCCCTGACTCACCTCCCGCTGGCTTTTAATACCTTATAAAAGTATGGCTTATAATAATAAGGGTGAAGTGGTTGAGGGAGAAGCGCAGAGATCTTCTGAAGCCTCGTTTTTTCCTCCACAAGTGGGGAGACAAGTTTGGTTTGGAGTTCCCATGGCTGATTGTTAATAGTGTAAATAGGTATGCCTGCCTCTAAGATGTTTATTTTTATTATTTTTTAAAGAACATTTTAATTCTATTTTATTTATTTATTTTAATTTTATTATTAATATTTTCCTCCCTCATTAAGATATTTTATTTTGTTCTTATTTCGCAGTATATTATTTTGAAATTATTTTTTTTATTTTGTAAATATGGTGTGGATGTGTGCTCTGAACTTTATTATAAGTGTCCTTAATTGATACAGATTGTAATATTTATCAATAAACAAGTAATCTATTACACTTAAACATAAAATTTATTGACCAAGTTTCTTCCAGTTTATAATAATACTTTTCCCTTCTGTCCAACTTCAAATTTTCTAAGGAAAGCGAATAAACAACTAACATAAGTCATCTGTGGGTTGAGTCTATACCGTTCTAGAATAATTTTACAGACTAAACTTCATAATTCAGTTTAAATATAACTAAAATTTTACTATACCTAAGGAAAACAGGCACAGGAGTATAATTGACATGCAGAATAAAAGTGTACTCACGGATCGTCTGGTGTGAGCTGCACGGGCTCGCCGGTGAACTCTGGTGGGAAGTTGGCCAAGTCCCTGTCGGAGTCTAACCTGGGCTTGTGCGGCGGCGGTACTTGCTTCTGCTCCAGCTATCAACACATCCATTCCCAGTGTTTATGTTCTATACTTCATAATCTTAACTAATGGAACAATACTGGAACGGTCCTGGTACTCGACCTCTTTAACAACGTAGATGCACTTAACTTACCTTGTTATAAATTCAGACTGAGGTCAGAGAAATGACCCCAAGGAAGAGAAGATGAGGAGGAAACGGATATCTCGAAGGAGGGCAGAGCGATTGCATTATACAAACTACCAAATAAGATTGTATGGAGCAATAGAGCCTCCTTCCTCCCTCGCCTAGTATAGTCAATAGGTTAGGTTTTTTAGTAAAATTTAAAATTGTTTAAATAAAGTCTACGCGTTATTTACTATTATATTAGAAATATGACGACTCACCTAGGAATGTAGATTTTAATGTTCTGTCCTTTATTTGTTAAATGGAACTGAGAAGTTGTATAGAAAAAAAAGCAATAATTTTTTGCTGGAATAGAATTCAAGTGATAAAGAATGTTTATATGATTCAGATTGCACATTTTAAATAATAAAAAAAGAATAATATTTAGCTTAAAACTGGAAATAACAGTGCGTCTCGGAGGTGTGGTGGGGACTGAAGGCGTGGCTAGGCTACAGTTGAGTACCGTGACGTATACGACTGCCAAACACAATACTCTTAGTACAATATAATAGAACGATTTCAATCTAATAAACTTAAAATATTCAGAACTTCTCGTCAAAATATGGCATTTATGTAAATAATAATGAATAAAATTGAAAGAATACAAATTCTTTTGATATATTAAGTTTAATATCATATCAACCTATTTCTATTATCATGTTTATGGTTCCGAATTTCAATTTATATTCAATGTGTTGAAACATAATATGAAGCATTTCCGAAAACAAATAAAGTAAATTAAAACATTCTTTTACGGTATATGTTTATGCTTTTCATCACAACTTTACTATTCAGCATAAAATTTCCTTTATGAAAAATAGTTATTTAAACGTAACAAAAGGTAGGTTTTCACCAAACACTCGATTTCGACCCCACCGTTCATCCCTAATAATTTTTAGTAATAATAATTGACACATAAGAACCTGTGCCTTTAGGTTTATTAATGGAGTAGACAGTAAGTAAACAATATAATACGTAAACAATTTATGCTTAATTATATATATTTTGAAAGTTATTTGAAAGATATTTGTATTATCTACAAAATGAAATAAAAATCATCGAATATAAACGATGGGCCGATATCAGCAATTTTAGTCTGTACTCTTAGTCCGTGGTACAGGCTCTTTTTTATCAAATTATTAACATCCATCTGAAACTTAGTAAGTAGCTTTATCTCATTTTCAATCTGGAGTTCGGAGAACTTTTTCTATTTTATTAGATATTAAAAACTCGTAAATACCTATTTAATTTCCATTTGAATCGTAAAATAATTTGAGCACACAGTCAAGAGAAAAGGTGGCCTTGAAAAATATTGAGCCGTTTGGCGTGAACAACACCCCCAAATGATCAACATAACGAGGTTATATCGGCCAAACGGTCCAATATCTTTGTAAGCCACATTTTTTTATCGATTTTGTGATCAAATTACCTCACGATCCAAGTGGGAAGCAAATGGGCATTTACGAGTTTTTAGTACCTAATTAAATAGACAAAGTTTGCCGGCCCCCAGACTGAAAACGTCCCAATTCTGAGAATTTTCGTAAATAAAATACTTTTACGTTGCGATGAGATGACGCTATTTACGAAGTTTCAGCCGGATTTTAATAATTTGATAAAAAGGGATCTGTACCACGGGCAATCTAGTTTTGCCTTATTGCTTTAAATGAACAATCTTTACTGAAAGAAGAAAGAAAAATAATTCTTTAAAATTAATTAATCAATCCATATCAAAATACATTGCATTAACATATTTCCATATTATTTGCACGAGTAAATTAGGGTACTTGTGAGCGACGCGGTCTCTATGGATTGCTATTTGCAGTTATCTTATTATTTAAAGTTTTGTTGTTGTTATTTATATTTCTTATTATTAAATTACTATATTATTATTATATTTATATTTCTTATTAATATATATATATATATATATATATTTAAACTTAAGCTTAACTATTTAATTGGAAAGTAGCTTAATATATGTGCTAGTGGACGGTGCTGAGACTGTCGGTGTGTCCCTGGCCTGATCGAAGCTCTATTTTTTAAAATTCTAGCTTTGAAGAGGATCCCATGGTTGACTAATAAAAAGAAAATACCGGGATCGAAACGTCAATAAAGAGAAAAAATGATCATTCAATAGTTTATTCAATAATAATTAAATGACCTTATTCCCAATTAAATAGTTAAGTTTAAATTTATTACTCAAAGGTCGATTAAGAAAAAGTTGTAAAGATATATATATATATATATATATATATATATATATATATATATATATATATATATATATATATATATATATATATATATATATTAATAAGAAACAGGCAAAACCAAATATGTTTATATTTCTTATTATACGAGAGTCTAATTTCATATGAAGATAGGGATTATCAGTGTTGAGGTTATAAGATAACTGCAGATAGCAGTCCATAGAGGCCGCGTTGCTCACAAGTACCTAAATTAGAACTATATAGATTGATAATAAAAATCCCAACAAGTGACTCCGCCATTTTGTAACCGATTGTTAGGAAAACATAAATTTTGTATCGATATTGAGAGAAAAAAAGCTAAAATCCTATCAGTATTTTTTCAGATTTTGCTTTCATTATTTGACTTTCTTATTATAGATTAAAGTATTAGCAGTTCAGAGAGAAAACGTGATAATTTATAAGAAAATAGCCAGAGCTGAGAGGAGGACGAGAAGAAGACATGGAGCTAGAGAGGCCCTTATCAGGAGTAGACAAGGCTATCTATCCCTGCGGGTCACTCAACCGATTTCCCCTCCATCCCACCCTCCCTTCTCTTCCCTTCTCCTCCATTCTCTGCGGGAAATTCCGCTCCCTTCCGGGGAAATGATTTTTTATCCGATGGGGGGGAGGGCTCGAGGTCTGGCTGAGCATCTTTTCCTCCCGCTAGTAAGCCTTTAACCCTAATAGAGGTCGGAAGGGGGGGAGGGACATAGCTACTGGGGCAATCGATGATCTGTCGGCACGAATTGCAGGCGGAAGTATCATAATTAGAGACGACGCTACGGAAAGGGACAGAGGAGTGCCGTCCTAAAGGGTCACTCTCGTCCCGCTACATATTTGGAAATACAAAAAAATAAAAATAGGAAATTAGAGATTAAGAGAATCCGCTTCAAACCGCTATGACAGTTGTAAAACATTCCATCACTTCTGGACTTAATAAAATATAAAACAGAAGCCAATACAATACATTTCAAGTTATGAAATTAAGATTTTATTGATACAATGTTGTGTTATCGGAAAAAAAATAGTATCGCTAGCAATAATATATCGTTATTATTTTATTTTAACATTCTGGAATTTTGTTTCAACTCGTTAAATTTTCAGATATATTGCCCCAGCTTGCAAAAGTCAACTTTCTGTAACAACTTCCTTTATCCAAAAAAAATTTTTTTCCCGAATATTGATCAACTAAAATTATAATGAAATAGTATTTTTTATAAACATCTCTATTATTAATATTGATCCTATAATAATGATATGGGTAAAAAACACAGTTTCCTTATCACATAAGATGATTTAAAAAATCATTATTTTGTGTGTATATATTCATTAACATTTATTGTAATATATTCGAGGTAAACGAAAAAAATATATATTAAAGCTTTGGAATAATGTATTGTATATAGACTATTTTGCTGAAAACACGAGTACTTTAAGGTGAGTCAACTTATATCTTAAAAATTCTAAACTTGATTAATATGGCCTTATAGCCAATTAAACAAGAAAGTTTTTTCAAAATCTCAATGTGAAGGCGATAAAGTAACGAATAATTCATGATATTTTTAAAAACAGAACCTAGTATAGTTTATCCGCTCGAAAATCCTCTTTAAATGGGCTTAACAATAATAAACTCTACTTGCGGAAATCTTTCGACTGACCAGCCCTGATGAAGGCCTGAATTTTGAGCTGAAACATCAGCAAAAATAAATATAATTTATTTATTTTTAAGTTTCTGTTTTTACTGAACACTCCAACCAACCTTCTCTTCAATTATTCACTACAGTCAACTATCGATCCACAATTATAAATTCTATTTAGTTTACGGTGAAATAATAATGTTTAATTACTTAAATTAATTAGTTTTCTCTAGTTATCACTTTCTATTCACCAACAAACATGACACTTAAAATAAAACTAAACTCCAATTTCCTGCTTTCCTGCTGAAAATCGGGCCATTGTTTATTTAAACTTTTTTGTAGCTCTTAATGTCTACTATGAACTATTTAAATATTTCCCTCTAGTTACAGGACACATAAGGTTGGCAACCGATTTACCGAACATTCAACTCATGCAACCTGAGGTCATTAATGTTTTTTATATATTTTCACTTGTAATTCGCATTTCATGTTATCTGCTCGTGACTGTAATCTTTATTGACTTTTCTTAAATTTATATTATTTTTAAAAAAACTCAAATCGTAAAGCTTCAATTTAATAGTTAAAATACAGTCATTATTATAGTAGTATATCGACACTGAAAACAGGGCTGGTAGTATAAACAGGAAGAACAACGGAAGAGATAACGTCCCATCATAAAATGAAATGAAAGAAACATCACATCAAAACGATCGAAACAAGGCCAAAAGAGAGAACAATTCGATGAAACCAAACACAAAAAGCAGCCTATAAATAAAGAAAATGGCAGATAAAGTGAGACCAACTGCAGGTTCTGATTGCTACAATCTTTGATGAAAAGTTTCTTTTTACTTCGGCAAGGAAGTGAGTAACAACTTAATAACTGAATATCCAGAACTATTATTACACCATTATGTCAACTCTCACGGCTTAGTAGTAAAATATACCTCTTTATATAAATAAAATAAGGGCAAAAGGAAAATGGAAAAGCTCTAAAAATCCAATGTTACAACATCACTGGGCAAAATACTGACAACATTTTCAAGTAAAGCAGACAGGGATGAACAACATCTACTGTAAAAAGGAATCGGTACTTGCCAACTCACGAAGCAGTCAAGTAAAACGCTGGCAAAATAAAATTACACAACCAATGGCTACTGAGAAAGCACCAAACTACTCACAACTTTGGATAACTAGTAAAAATCGAATGTTCTATTATTCTATAATGATATGGCGTTGGAAGGAGCCTCAAGGGAATCTGCCTTATAACATGCAAAGTATTGGTAGGTAAAGCCTGCGGTTGGAGGTGGTCTACAGAGGGGGGGGGGAGAAGGGGAAGGTAGAGACACTCACGGGTCCTCGGCGGTGAACCGTAGAGGCTGGCTCGTGAACTGAGGGTCGAAATTGGCGGCGGCATTAGTAGAGTCCGGCATGTAGGGCGCTGGCACTCCCCGCACCTTCAGCTTAACAACAACAACACCTCTCAACAAATAATTACAAGCAAATCATACCTTACAAGATAAATATCATAATATAACATGATTGTTAGGTAACTGATGAGTCTCAGCACGTAACTGGTAATAATGTTGTCTTCAACTGATTTTGTAGTCCTTCCAGTGCTGCACAACAATTTATCAAATACTAATAAGTGAGCTCTGTCTAAACTAAAGATAATCAAAACTGTCCTTTTTATTGATTTTATTAGGGTTAAGTGTAAGTGCAGCGTGCGAAACGGATACGATAGCAGCACCGTATGTTGGCTCTCGCAGACACAGCAATGCACCTGGTCCAACCTCGAGACCAGGGTTTACACTTTTAAGAGAAAAAAAAAATCCTTTTTAGAAATCCTTGATTGAATTCGTTGCTGTGCTGAAGAAACAAGGCCTCTATCTCTCTTAATGTCAATAGAGAAGCGTCTCCACCGCTTTATACATATTTTCAAGTTTCTTTCCATATCGTCCAACCATCAGAGCCGAAGTTGTCTTCGCTTTCGTCAATTTCCATAGAGCAGTTTTCTTGGCCTTCTACAGTTCATCCTCTCCATATGCCCCAACCATCGCTGTCTATTGTTGGTAATTTGATTCACTCACCTCACAATGTCCTGTTCACAATATCCTTTAACTCCAGGTAACTTATAGCAGAAACTTTTTAATTTTCTTATTCTTCGAACACCCTTCAAATTGTTAGGTCCGGGATTAACAGTATAAACTCGATCGTCTTTCTCAGATCCTCCAGATCACGGTAAAGCTTCATCGCCAAGTCTAACGTTTGGCCAAATCTCCTTTCTGATGTCCTCCAGCTCAGGACAAGTCTGAAAGATATGCTTCATACAGTCCTGTATGAATGCCCTATTGAGGAACAACAATTTCTTGATACCGTCTGCAAATAGAGAAATGGAAAACGACATTCTTTGAAATAAAAGAATGAATTAAGGGCGAATCATATCGCTATGATAGATTTTAAAAATTTTATGGCGCGGTGCATGGATCTTGAAAATGGCTCCTGAAGCCGAAACGTTGAATAAAGCATACAGGAGATAAAAAACTGTGTATATTTGGTGACCTTTGGCCTAAAATAGATATATGAAAAATTATTGCAAGTATTTACATTCAGCGCTGAGGATCTATCTCTGAAACGATGGCATCGATGAGTTTACAAACATGCCAAAAAAAAAAAAGAAAGATTCAAATTGCTTCATAAGCCATTTATTTCCTCTTTCATTATACCTCATCGACACACAATAACATAGAAAAGCTAACAAGACAGCTTATGACTGTGTAATTAATGACAGGATAATGCATAGGATGGGTACCTTTTGATCATTAGAGACAACTCTTAGATTATGCAGTGAAAAAGGAGGCTACAATATTTTTTTTAATATTTCACTGAAGGCATATTGTAATCTTCAACTTGAAATCATAACGGAAAATATCGGATTCGGTGTATGAACGTCTGAAACCACGAAAATTTGTTTCCTTATGATTTATTTATAAATTAATTAAAAATGACATAATTACGGTGGCAGCGGTGAAACGAAGAAGTGCGCTCTGTGGACGAGCCCCCAATAAGGCACAAATTGGAGGAGTACCTTGTTAACAAAAGTTAATTAGAGAGAGGAATGGCACGACACGGCCTTATTGCATCCTGCGGTTGCAATTATTAGTTTTGTACACAAAGCCTCTGGCGGCGGATAATGCGGAGCGAAATTGGCAACTCATGATCAAATGCCACTTTGAAAAGGACAAATAGTTGCGCCCTGGAGGCCTACGGTAATTGGATTTAGAGCCATATAATGTACTATACTCCGGCCCCCTGGTCGCTCAAAGGGTTACAGCGAGTCAAATAAAGTCCACCAAGTTAATTACAATGCCTACAAACACGATCGACAGTTACAGGTACTGCTTGAAGGAAATATTTTGAATTAAAAGATAAGATGGAATTAAAACTCAATGAGGACCGAATTAATATTAGTGAAAATTGATGTTAGGATCTTACTAATAGTCCGAATACAAAGCCATTGATCTCAGGAATGCATGTTAACGAACTAATCCGCAAATGTTTCCGCAAATAATCCGCAAATAATTGGAAACTACTATGGAAAAAAATCGCGTAAATTTGATCTGCAATAGAACTGATAAGAAATGCATATGATATTAATATTGCATTTTAAATAATAAAACAAAGGGTTGCATTTAGCTAAAAACATGAAATGACGGAATGTGGCGGGGACTGAGGTTGTGGCTTGAGTCCATTCCAGTGTGACCCGTGAACAGGTGCCAAGTGTGATACTTTCAAAATAAGCCCTACTTAATAAACATACATTTATGAAAGCTAATAAAATACACTTTAACTAAATATTTTTATTCAACGACAATAGAAAGAGATAAAAATGGAAAGATATTTCTTAAGGCAATGTTTTGAAACTGGAAACAATATTAGTAATAGTGTTGCCCAAATGTGAGACCAAGACGAGTCTTGGTTTTTTTTTCCGATAGGGGAAACCTAACTAAGCCAGAATGAAAAATTGTTAGAGTTAAATGAAAAGTTTATTGGTTACACCAATACTTTACACATAGTGACTAAAATTGTCAAGTATTAGTAACTATTTCGCCTTAATTTTTATTCACAAAAATACCTTTTTTGTGGCCTGTCTTGGTCTTAATCGTGCAACAGTCAGGCGGTCTTGGTCTTGCAAAGTGCAATTTTGGGCAACAATAATTAGTAAATATAAAATGTCGGTTCTGGATCACTTTTTTGCTGAATTTGAGAAGAATTGGACTTTGGACTCTAGACCATGTGAGATAGACAGAGATACGACGATTTCAACTAGCTCAAATTAAAATAAAAAAATACAAAATAGGATTAAGAATAAAATGGTTAATGGTTAATGGGATGTCGAACCACGTGGTTAAGGATAAGAATAGTCTAGGGTTCCAAGTTCCATTCCCAGCAAATTGAGAAAAAAAGGATTCCGGAATTTTCTATCGATGAATATTCTAGGTTAAAAAGATTAGAATATTGCAAAAAAAAATAAATAAATAAATAATAATAAACATCGAAAAAGCGGCGTTTTACCACACTGTGGAACGTCGCTAGACACCATGGCTTCACATGCAATAACGTGCCGAATCTACTTTGTTCATCTGTTTTTTCTTATTATTGATTAGAGATGTGACATATTTGGTCAGATGTTACATTAAATTAAATCGATTAAACCTTTCGGTCATAATGATCCCTGCCTCGGCGAAACTTACACTGCTTGGTTATTCACACCAGTCTGAGAAAATTATGGCGTTGAAATCTTCCAATAATATCCTAGGACAACAATGTGAAATCTTCAGTAGACCCTGGGAAGGATCACAGGATTTTAAAATCAAAAATAATGTTAAAGTATTTTCACTGATTCAGGCAATACCGCTAACAAGCAGAGGAAATCAAGTTTGATATAAAATTCCAACTCTCAGTTATCCCTGAATGAATGGACAGGGCGACAGTGTAAACTAGCCACAGAGGAAGACAAACAAGGAGGAGGATACGGGGCCGTAACGAGGAGGCGCACTGATGGAGAAGCGAGGCAAACAGCAGGGCACTCTCCGAGGCTTTGGTCTCTAATTGGAGCCAGGGGGTAAGGCTAAGGGCCCTCCTCTATCTGCCCCCGGGCTCCTGCGGCCAAATTGCCTTTCTCTTTCTAAGCCACCCGGATCAAGAAAAATATAAAAACATACGTACAAAAGGTCACTGTGTCCAAACTACTTCATTAAAATATGAAGAGAGAGTATAATACAACCTCACTCAAAAAAGACATAAAATCCGTCAAACCACCGAATGAATAACACCTGAATCACGTAGTCTTATAGAGAGATAAGAAAAAGGAAATGTACGACAAGCAATTTAAATTTAAATTTACACGTCAATGATTTTTCTCAATCCTCCCTAAATAATTAATACGTAACAAGAGCCAAATGTTTAAATTAAGCTTCGAGAAATCGATGCAAAGATTTTCTATAGACAATTTTTAGTCTGAAATTTAATTAAATAATAAAACAGTTCACTTGCGACGATCGGAAAGAATTTCCAAAATTGGTAAAATATGGAGGTAAAAAAAAACAAACTTGGAAATCACGAAAAGAAGTTCCTCAGATGGAATAGATATTTAAAAAGAATGTCTGAAGAGAGACCTCCAAGAAAGGTAAGCTTTTGAAAAATTGGTGGAAGAAGATGAGCTCGGCCAAGAAAAGAGTGGAATGAGCAAATAGAAGAGTCTATGATGGTGCATAGTCTGCAAGAGGAGTGGACTCTGGGTAGAAAAATAGCAAGGAGGTCACAGAAAATTTATGGGTTAAGAAAACTCATTGTAGTATGGAAAAATCGATTTAATAGAAAAAACAAAATGGAATATTCGATATTTGACGGTAGTATATTGACGAAATAGGGCGGGTAGGAGAAATTTTAAAAACCAACATAAAATAATGGAAACTATTATCAAGCCGACGTTTCGAACCATCTTTGCAGGTCTTCGTGAGGGCTAGGGTGATATGCCCGTCAATTGGATTATACTACAGATAGACTGACAAAACCCTTTATAATTTACCTCTAAGTTCGTACATATGGGACCATCTAAGTTTTAACCCCCATGATCTATGAAAATAGGATTAGCGGGAGGTAATATCTTCGTCAAGCGGTTAATACTGCAGGCAGACTAACGAAATACTCGAGGAATATTCCTTTATACAATGCTTCCCTAGGTTAGATAATGAAGAAGGGATGGGTAGGCTCATTCATAAGCGAAAGTATATTTTAAAAATAGCGAAATAAAACTCAAAATGCGCAGTTTTTGAAATATAGAAGATGAGAATGGAATTCGATAAAATTGATATAAAATTAATCCTCTACTTCCATTCAAAATTTGAGCTAAAT